CTTCCTCTTTTCCCCTCTCCGTCTCCCCCCCTCCTCTCCTTTCCCCTCCCCTCCTTCCTCTCATTCTCCCCTCCCTGCTCAGGTTCGGTTCCCGCTGTGCGCGGATTTTCCGCCTCCTGCTGCGGAAGCAGCACCTGGAGCAGAAGCAGGTGGAGGATTTTGCCATGATCCCGGCCAAGGAGGCCAAGGACATGCTGTACAGGATGCTGTCCGAGAACTTCGTGGCACTGCAGGTCGGTGGGGGGGGGGGGGGAGGGGCGGCTCTTTGAGCCCCCCAACATGATTGGGGTCCCTGAGCCCCCCATGCCGGGGTCACTGCGGCTCCATGTGGGCTGAGCGGTGATGTGGGCCCAGCTCTCGGTCCCTGCCGCGTTCGCAGCACGGCTGCAGCCCCCCTTCTCCCTCCGCCCCCCAGGAGATCCCCCGGACCCCCGACCACGCTCCGTCCCGAACCTTCTACCTCTACGCCGTCAACGTGCCGTCCTCCGCCAGGATGCTGCTGCAGCGCTGCTATAAGGTTGCTCCCCAGCCCCGCTGGGTTCTGCCTGCCCCGAGGGCCCCGGCTCTGACCCCACTGTTACGGGTGTTCCTGGTGTGCTGCGCCCCACAGCCCCAGATGCCGCCCCACAGCCCAGCCCTTTTCTCTTCCCTCTCCCCAGAGCGTGGCCAACCTGATGGAGAGGCGGCAGCACGAAACCAGGGAGAACAAGTGAGTGTGGGGTGTGGGGCTGCAGGTTGGGGAGGGGGCTGCGTGTGGGGGGGAGCCGTGGGTGTGGGGGAGCTGCAGGGGGGACGGCTGTGGGTCAGGGGGCTGCAGGTGGAGGGGCTGCAGGGTGGGGGGCAGCTGGGGGGAGATGCTGTGGTTTGGGGGGGCTGCGTGTGGGGAGCTGCAGGTTGGGAGGGCTGGGGGGGGGGGGGCGGGCTGTGAGTTGGGAGGGCCACGGGTGGTTGGGGCTGCTGGTGGGGGGTGCTGCGGGTTGGGGGCTGTGGGCTGGGGGTGGGGCTGCAGGTTGGGGGCTGCAGTTTAGGGGATGTGAGTGGGGGCTGCAGGTTGGGAGCTGCATTGGGGGCTGAGGGTTGGGGGCTGTGGGTGAGGCCTGCAGGTGGGGCTGAGGGTTGGGCTGCCGCTGGGGGCCGCTGGGGGCTGCAGCCGGCCGGGCGCTGCGCTCTGCAGGCGGCTGCTGGAGAAGTCGCAGCGCGTCGAAGCCATCCTGGGCTCCATGATGGCCACCGGCGCTGAGCGCGCGCAGCTGCAGGAGATCGAGGAGATGATCACGGCTCCGGAGCGGCAGCAGCTCGAGAGCCTCAAACGCAACGTCAATAAGTGAGCGGGGGGCTG